TCAGCAAAAGAACTAAGCAAGGCCTAAGAGGGCATTATAGCTCCAGGAACAAGGTGAGGCACAGAAACTTGTTTTATTTTTTTTATTAAAGAATAACCTCAAAAGGGACACTTTGCTAATATTTGGTAAACAAAAGGCTCAAGTTGCATTTTCGTTTTAATTAGAATAATTTTAAAGCAGCCTCACAGCATCTCTCATGAACGAAAAGAGCTTCACTTTAGATTGAGATAAATTATCGGCTTTTGCATTAAACTGCACTCTCCACATAGCACATCTGAATAAGACTGTGCTTCAGGCTATTAGATATTTTGAACAGGATCCTATCCTCCTCATGCACAATCACCAGATCAGATATTACCCTGCCACAGATGTCTACATAACATAAATGGCAATTTTGCAACCAAAACTCATAATCTGATTTCTGATTGGCTGAGCAAGTTATTTGTCTCTCTAGGCAGGTACAGTGCAGAAGCACTGCAACTTAACTCCACGGCTTCTTGAATATACTTCTTGGTGTTAGAAATCAAGAAACCCTATGGCCCTCATAAATCAACAGACTGCAGCAGCACTTTGGTGGTCCTTCCTTATAGCGTACCACACAGTCTTCTCAGAGAAGGCTGTTCAGTTTCTGACTTGTTATCCTCAAGATGCTGAACTGGCAGAAATCAGTGTTTTGTGACAAGAATGCCAATTGCCTCATGGGAACATGCAGCTTATGGTTTTCTGTTTGTTGCAATTCATGTAGGAATACTGCCTTGCTGTTTCCAGGGAAATATGCTCCCTGATCACGTTCATCATGTTTCAGTGGGATTTCAGGCTGCATATATGTGGCAGGCCTGATGGCTACTCCAACAGAGGTATATTACAGTACAGTGCAACATGTATAATATTCCCTTTTTAAGTCTGTATACTGATTGCTCAAACTGCACTCTTGGCAATATTTACTAGTGGCACTGGCACCAACCCTCAAAAAGTCACTGTACAATACCAATCAAAGTACTGTTGGGATATACAGAATAAGCACAGCCTACCTTGTGGTAGGTCTAACCTTTGCCTGCACCTACAGTCACCACTATGCTAGAGGTCTGTGAAAAGTTCTGCCCATAATGTACATGGCAAAGAGAGGGCATGGGCAAATGTACACTTGGAGCCATTTCAAAATGGGAGGAAAAGCTGCTGCTTGTTAGTGTGCAGCAGCTGTAACTGGTAGGCAGCCAAACAAGGTAAACTGCAGTTTACAAAGGATGCAAACTGCCTTGAGTTTAATCCTGCTTCATTCCAGGTTAGTGCTGGAGTTGTTTGGCTATATTTAAATCGCTACAGGCTACTGCACAGGTACTGTTAACAGTGTAAAAGCTGCTGTCTGATCTGCAAGGATCCTGGTTTTCTCTGATTTAAAAAATCAGAAATTTTCCAATAAAAAATACAACAACCCAAAATCCACATTTTTCCGTGATCAAAATGAAGCACCATATCAATCCAAATAATATATAGTGGCATTTTGTTTTAATCATGGGAAAATATGTATTTTGAGCATGTGTTTTTTTTAAATCAGAGAATTTCTGATTTTTTTTATCAGAGAAAACCAGGATCCCTGCTGATCTGGAGCAGCTCCCCATCCCCTTTTAATACATAGTTGATCACACCCAGAGTCTGATAAACACTGACAGCCTGTATGTATAGTTACAGAAAAGGCTCCTTGTAGAAAATAAGCAGTGCAATTTCATTTTGAAGGAAAATCAAGATAAAATTTGACATAGTGAAGACAGTAAACTCACAATATCAAAAAAGTACAAATACCTCACAAAAAAGTAACCAATTAACAAAATCCAAACTAAACTCACACTTCTCACCCTCCCTCTCTGATTGGTATAGGGAAGGCCAACTAAAACTTGTTGAACTAGTTTTACAATTCAGGTGAAATTATTAACTGTGGTTTATGGTTTAAAAAGGATCTATTATGCTGTCCTTTAACACCTGTCTGCTCATTCAAGGGGCAAACAAAAAGCAGCCTGAGAATGAAGCCAAGATGGATCACACTGGACAAATTTTATCATCCTCACAATAACGCAACTGTGGAGACAGGGAGAAACAAGAGGCATTTCAATTTTTTTAGTTCATCAGTTCAAACTCCTTGACATTTTGGAAGCAGCTGATCAACCCTAGAGCCATATTTAATAGTCACAGTACATAGAATCAACCAGACCCAGGATGGAGAGGATGCAAATGAGCTCTGAATTGACAATTAGACCTTTTCCAGAACTCCATCTCCCTCAGAAAATGATGATTCATTGAAACTATCACTTGTCACAGGAAGGGTCAAAAATTGGAAAGTTTCAAAAGTGCAGAAAGGAACACTTGAGTCGGGCTAGAAGATCTATTAGGTCCCTTCCGACCCTGAAACTATGAAACTATGAAACATTCCATGTTTTCAAAATGACAGATCCTTGTTTTCTGATTCAAAATGAGTTTCCATTTCAAAATGTCCGGAGTAATACATATCCATGATATCTATACTACCTGTAACAAAGTCTGCGTGTAACTGCAGGAGGCATGCCAAGGCTGCAATTTGAATAATTTGCACCAAAAAAAAAATGCTATTCTGGGTCCTTTCACTTTCCTTGCTTAATTTAATTTAATTTCTAGCAAAAATCATATTTCTTTGCTTACTTTTACTTTTCCATTGAAAAATAAAATTAATGAGTCTAAAAAAACAGAAATGGGAAATTATGTATGAAAAAAACAATGCACTGGAGAAATCAAGTTACTAAAAGGTTTGCTTTTTTTTGCTAGCGGTGCATGGTTTTGACATAATTACAATAGACTGAAACAGCTGCTCTCTTCTTCCACAAACAAAATGAGTAGTTTAAGATTACTTTATTCAGAACTGATCCAGTCCCTTAACTACATCCCTCCTCAAAGAGGCAGACTGACTAGTCTCATTTTTCAACTAAATACAGAAGGTTCACAAAATCCATCTGTCAAGGGATTTAAGAGAAGGGGGGAAAAAAACCACAAAAGGTCCAACACCCTCAAACAAAAGACATCCTTTTGTCATCACATGGACAGATCCTATAAACACATAAGCAAGCATACAGCCAAGTAGGGCTGTACCGATAAAGATTTTTTGGGCCGATACTAATGGCTGATTATTAACGAGTCATATCAGCCGATACCAACCTGAATGCCAATATGCAGCCCGGCAGCTTGGAGAGAGGCGTCCACCAGGTAAGTCTGTTGGGGGGGGACAGGGCGGGGGGGGGCAGATTGAGGTCCCTGCCGTGAGGGAGGGAGTATGGCTGAGGCATGGGCAGGTGCTGCCCAGCCAGGGCAGGAAGGGGGACAGAGCTGTGAGCAGCTCATCCAGCGGTGTGGGGAAGGGAACGGATCCCATCACTACACGCACTCCTGGGGGAGCTGTGGGGGACATGCCCCCCAGATCTGTGCATGGGGCAAGGGCAGGCTGCCACTGTGGGCTGGGGCCGGGGGCAGTACTGGGCTCTTCCTGGCACAGGGTGGGGGTGGGCAGGCGGTTGTGCTTGGGCTGGGCAGTAGCAGTGCTGGAGCGGGGCCCCCCCCCCCCCCCCCCCCCCCCCACAGCCCCCCCTCTCAGAGCCACTGCCACCCACTCTGAGCACAGCCCCAGCCCAACCCCTCGGGGGAAGATCCCAGCTGGAAGAGCCAAGCACCGCCCCTTGCCCCAGCCCGCAGAGGCAGCCTACCCTCTCCCTGTGCACAAATCCTGGGGGCATGTGCTCCCCATGACTCCCCTGGAGCTGTGTTCAGCAGCAGGATCTTCCCCCCCACCCCACATCTTTGGACGAGCCGCTCATAGCTCTGTCCTGCGCCCCAGCCCAGCTGGGCAGCGCCTGCCCCTTCCCCTTCCCCAGCCCCACTCCCTCCCTCACCACAGGGGCCTCAGTCTGCACCCCTCATGCCCCTTCCCTCCCCCTGCCCCTTCCTTCCCAACAGACTTACCAGCCGGGCGCTGCTCTCAAAGCTGCTGGGATGGCTGTGTGCATGCTGCAGCTGCACACATGCATGCTGAATTTATTGGCAATGTCATCGGCCATATCAGCCATAAAAAGGTGATTGCCAATAAGGTCAATTTTCCTTTTATGGGTGCCAATACGCTATGGACTGATGTATTGGTACAGCTCTGCACCCAAGCACAGTAGACTCACTCAACTGAATGATGTTACCTGTGTAAACATTTAGAGGCCTCTCTTTATAAAGGTTACCAGAAAATTCAATCAAGTAAAGCGAATCTGGGAAAGGCATTTGGATAAACACAGTGACTTTCTGAACCTCCTGTCATTACTACTTTTGTTACACTGTCATGTCAGAGCCACTGAACCCCTTTCTACCCTTTGGTTTTCAGTCTTTTGGCCAGCAGATGACAGCAATACATATGGAGGCAATGTGCTCAGCAATGTTGGGACTGGGACAGCAAAGACTTGTAATCTACACTGTAATCTACACTCACTGCCACTGGGTCCTAGTTTAAAAAACAGATAACCCTGATTTGGCATTTTTTCAGCTTGCTTTTATTAACATTTCAGTTTGCTCATGTTTGCTGCATTAGTTTAGAACTTTCGCACTGCATGTCAAATTCTTTACCAGCTGATAGGCATCTGAAGGTGCACCTCACTTGCAAGGCCACACCTTAGTTAGGCAACAGGGGTGTATCTAGCCCTCGTAATTACAGTGGTTACGAAGTCATACTCTTATAAGGAATTAATTTCCTAGGATATTAGCATATTAGCCTCCTGCTTCAAAATTAAAAAAAAAAAGACTAAACATGCCATAGCTGGCTATTGAGAAGAATTTGCTGCCTTTCCCAGCCTCTCCATAATTATGTATAGCAAATGCTATGCAGCATTTATAAATCACAATTATATCTGTCACTCAGGTTAGATTTTTTTGAAAGCTGGCTTTAGCTGCTGATTTCAAAGCAAGGCTCCCTGTATAAGCAGTATATTCAACCTGATCATACATACCAATTCCTTTAATGAGGTGGCAGTTGGGAAGCTCTACTGGCTCCATTTCCCGAGAAGCATTAAGTTTATTTCTACAAGAAAAAAAATATATAGTTTAATACAACTGATCTAACAGAGTTTCAGGACCTGATAACAGGATAATACAGGCAGTCCTCGACTTACGTTTCAAGTTATAACGTTTCACACTTACAACGTTTCTAAATTGACACCATTTCAACTTTCTGACATCAGTTTCAACTTTACAATGCTTGATCTGATGTGATGCCATGCCAGCGAACAAGTCGCTGTGTCACCCATCTCCCTGGAGAATAGATGTCCAAACTTCCTTGGACACTTTCTTTAAGAAAGCAGACAAGACTCAGGAAAAACCTGCAGCCAAGAATCCTGAGAAGAATCCAGCCAAGAACCCTTCAAAAAGTCCAACCAAGAGTTCTTCAAAAAGTCCAGCAAAGTCACCTCAAAGAAGTCCTTCCAAATCAATATGATTGCTATTTACAATATAAATACATTAATGTAGCTATATTACTAATCTATAATTGACTGAGTACAAAATTCTGGGTTATTTTTGGTGAAAACAGGGTATCGGACCTTCCCACTTATAACACTGTTTTGTATGGGAAAATCGGTTCTGAGTTACGACATTTCAACTTAAGATGCCATTTTCAGAACCAATTGCGTCGTAAGTCTGAGGACTGCCTGTACTTAAACTCCTCGCTTGCTTTTATTTTAACTTTACCACCAATCATTTCTCTCAATAAAATGGCGTCTCGCAAATATTTAATGGAATCATAAGTCTGTAACAATCTTCAAGGGTCAACCCTGTACAGACGCAAGTTTCACTATCCTAAACCACCTCACAGAGATACCTATCCAGCTTCTTCGTGTAAACCTCTAATGGAAGACATTCTACAACTTCCCTGGCCAGTATGTTTTATGGCCCTACTGTTCTTAAGGTTAGGATTTTTATCCCAAGATTTGAGTTTAAATCCACTGCCATATATCCTGTCCTTGTGGCAAGGGAGAACAAGTTTTCTCCATCTTTCTCATGGGCCCTTTTAAAGTTTTTGGAAACTACTGTTATACTTCATAGTATAAATGCTAGTATTTTTTATATCTAATATTATAAAATGGCAATTGTTATATTTAATATAACAAATTGTTATATTTGCTAATTTATTATAATTCATTAATTTATCATATACATTATAATATACACTATATTATAATAGAATATTATTATTGATTTGTTAATTTAGTATATTATAATTATATTTGTTATGTTATATAACAGATTGTTATAACAAATTGTTATATTTAATAAATGCTAAAGTGTTTTTTATATCAAACCTTATAAAATTGCAATGTTGTCAACTCCACGTATTTAAACAACAAACAAACCTATGAGCCAGGCTCCAAATATGCCATATTTATGTATAATACATTTGGAGATTTTAGTAGTCTTCTGGCTGAGCTTCCAAATGCATTTATATCACATGTAAGCTTTTTTTCCTGCAGCCATGACAACTAGACACTTTCACTTTTTAAAAAAAAACACTTCTCAAATAATTGAACTCCATAACCTGAAGCTTTTAGAAAATCATCCATTAGAGTGAAATTAATTATAAAACTTCAAAAGTTGTCAGGTTACAACATAAAACAAACAACTTTTTTAAAAGTCAGTTGTACTTTGATGCCCAGAAATTAAGCAACTGCAGCTAGAATGCTGATCTGTGGAAGGTTACAAAGCTGACAGGTCACACTTAGAGTCAAACATAAAAAAAAAAAAAATCAATATTTCAGATAGAAAGAAGGTAGATAGAAGGGTCCTCTTCTTTCACCCCATGCCAATAACTCTTTTTGTTAACAAGCAGTTCCACCCTTTCCATATTACTTCTTGCTATTTTCTAACACTAAAGCAATCATCCTTTAAGTCAGGGGCGGGCAATTATTTCAGGCGGAGGGCCACTTACTGAGTTTTGGCAAGCCATGGAGGGCCGCGTGACAGGCAGCCAGGGGCAGATAACTATTAATTTTCTAAATTTTTAAGGGGCTCATGGGCCAGATAGAACGGCCTGGGGGGCTGGATCTGGCCTGCGGGCCACATTTTGCCCACCCCTGCTTTAAGGTAACATCCTTGTAAGTGACAAGTGTTGTTCTTTGCAGGGTACTTTTGATCTACTGCTGTTTCATTCCATCCATTTTCTCCATACCAAGAATCATCTCTTTATTACTGTTGTTCCACTCTCCCTTCCAAACACTTTAGCATCAGCCAGTGACAAAGACTGAAGTGATGACAAGAAATACCATGGTATTTGCAGGCAGACAGTAATGAACAGGCCTCATCTCATTTCTGTCATTCCCCTCACCCCCCACACCACCGGTGTATCATAAAAAACTATAGATATTTAATGATGTTCACTTTCTGTTTAAAATATTTAATAGTACTTGGGGGGAGGGACTGCAGATATGTTGAAAAAAATCTTAGAATGTTGATACAATTTTTAATCAAATCAAAATTGAAATCAACCTGATAAGTTTGAATAAACATTATTTTAAAATAGTCTTCAGGTAGCATAAATAGTAGTTTCATTAACTTCAAAAGAGTTTGTACTGTAGCTGAATTTCTGGCATTTAACCTCATGTTGTCCCTCCCTCAAATTCTTTTACTGTCTAAATAGGTCAATAGCTAGGGGTCTACCCAACTGGAGGAGATGGCCGACCAATTTGAATATATGCTCCCTCAATACCACATCCAAAGGAACTTATGAGAAGAAGGTGTGTCAACTACAAGATTAGAATGTTTCTTCTTAAAGAAAGTTATTGCTTCGGATATTCCCCAAATACATGTGCAGCTGGAGCTGAACATTTACATGTTGAGTCAAAGAATTAAAAATTCAAATATCCTGTAGCAACATGCTACTCCAGTGGTTTTTTTGAAAGCATAGATTTATCTACAGGATCAGTATAAAACATCAGACGTGCAATATGGCTGGCACTACTACTTTACTTTTTTGTCTCTTTACCTGCATCCATTTAAATTCTCACCCTATTGTTGTCATTTATGGATTTACATTAAAAAATGTCTTTCTGCATTGCGAATGTTTCCTACGTGAGTGGGAGAGGTTAAGGTAAAATGGTAAAACTCAGAAGTTTTTCCAACAGCCCTCAAGGCAAGTTATCCCTGCTCATGGGAAGTTACACAAAGCACAACTGGTAAATGCTCCAGGGTTAGAAGAGATTTAGCACAGTAGTATTTATTCAGGTCTTTGGCTCTCCCATTGAATAACAATTCAGGCAGGTTTGATCGGTCAAGCACAATTTATCATTTAATCTCTGTATTTTCCTTCCCCTTTTTACCCACATCTTCCTCATTCTTGCACTGCTCTCACCCTTCCCTACTTACTAGTCTCATTCTGACACACATGGGCCACATCTACACAGGATGCTGACTGCGCAGTTTTTACTGCGCAGTCATTTAAGTACTTGCATACCTAAGTACTAAATGACCGCACAGTAACCAGAGTTACTGCACAGTTAGCATCCCCACAAGTCTTCCTGGTGATGCTGGCAGCATAGGATCTCATTACTATACTGTATTTAAGAAAAAATATTTTAAGATAACACAAGTGAATTTTTTTTTAAGTGGTATAAACAATAGTGTACCTGAAGCCCAGGAGGCAAACTTCACGTGCAGTATAAGCATCTTAGCTGGGTTTCAGGTGGCTGTTGAAGGATCTGTATATTGTACAGTTCCTACCATGCGATGCTAGTAATGAGCTATTACACAGTAGTAGCAAGCTACTGCTCAGTAAGCAACTCGTGTAGACATGGCCATGAGGATACAAAGTTTTTAGAAGCTGAATAAGACTGACAGCAGACTAAACGCAAGGATATGCAGTGCTCTCTCAGGATGGCTAAATATATGGTAATATTATTTATGTGATACAGAAAGGGATTTACCAATCATTTTCGAGCTTCCTTAAGTAACTCCGTAATTTCAGGAGTACCATGCGGACAAAGACTGCAAGCAACAACAGAACACAAAGTTCCCAGAGTTTTCGTGGAAGGCATTTAAAAAACTGGAAGAAGAATACTTAGGCTGGGCACTAATAAAGAACCTTAGAGCATTACTGTGAGGAGTTTCCAAACTACTGCATCTTGCCCATCTCTGATACATGAGATGCCTACTCTGAAACGACACATGCCAGATCTGCTGATGGTAGGGGATCATTCAAGACACACCAACTATGTAGAAAACGGACCAGTGTTCCTGGTTCCTGCAAGGAGCCTACCTTGTGTATTATCACCCTCGTTCTGTTTGCAAAAAAGTGCTGTTTACAAGAATCTAGAAGTGCCTGCAGTTCTTCAGATCTAAAATATGCTAGCGAAGTAAATAGCATGTAAAAAACTGAGGCATAGGTGGAAATTTAAGTATGAAAAATCAGTTTATGGACATTTAAAGTGATAGAGACCCTAACAATGTACAATATACAGCTCCCTCAACAGCCACCTTAAACCCAGCTAAAATGCTTATACTACTGCACATGAAGTTTACCACCTGGGCTTCAGGCACACTACTGTTTATTCCACTTTAAAAAAATAATAATTTCCCTTGTGTCATCTTAAAAGATTTTTTCTTAAATACACTTAGTGCATACTCCTATACCCCACCACAGTAAATGAATCTTTCTGTCATTTTAATAGTTATCACATTTAAGATATTTCTACTGGTTGTAAATAATCTTCAATTTATAAGCTGTTTCTTCTACTTTAACTGGGAAGTATTCCAACAGCACAAACAAAAAACACAGACGTTGATGAGATAGATCCTTCTCAGCATCATAACATAAAACATAAATGAAAAAGTCAAGCCGAATAGTAGCAGGTCTATAGAGAATGCCTATTTTTTTTGCTTTTTGGGGTTCTTATTGTTGCCAATGGGGGGCAACCAAGGATGGCTGGCTCAAGCAGAGGGAGGTTTGGCTTAAAATAAATCAAATATCTTCCCTTTCCCTCCCACCTCCCCCACACACATACTCTCTTTCTAGTACAAGGGTGGCCAACCTGTGGT